AAGGGAGGAAATAATTAGAATATATTAGAAACCTCTCTGTAGCTGTAAAACTGATTTCTTATAAATCATAAAATGAGGCAGAGAACATCAGAACATGACATGAGCAGAATAAGATTACAAAAACATTTTTCACCTTATTTGAGATTGAAGATACAAAGTCCTGCAAATGGAGAAATTTATAAACCTAAGATTCCTTTAAAAATTGTATTAATTCGCAAAAACCTCATCTCAGTACTGTCACTGGCCAAGAAGACAGTAAAAGCACTGTTTTAAAAAGTTTTTCTCCTCTACCTTTATACATAAATACATTACTGTCTATGTATTCAAAGATCTTATTTAAAATAATATTCCACAAATGTTTCTGTGAAGAGTTTTTAGTTCATTCTTTATACTAAAACAGTGTCCTTATCTGCTGTACGGTAAACTATCCCTTCCTGAGAGATGAAGCTAATGAATAAAATACAACTGATAGACCAGTCTGTAGTTAACTTTAAGTCTGAGCAAATGTTTTTATCCCTCTAAAATATTTTGAAAGTAACTTTGAAGGGTCAATTTTCAATTTCTTTAAAATGAACTCAGAGATAAAACATCCATAGGAACCTCACAGTAATTTTCTTAAAAGATTTATTTAATTTTTGCTTGAAAGCAACATTTTAATACTAGCAATGGCACTGTATAGAAGTTAATGTTCTTTTTACCTCTTATACCTTTAATATACATATTTAAATGTCTTCAGTGACACACTGTCAATTGCAACTGAAATAGAGATGATAAGAACAACCCCAAAATTCAAACCAAACTTCTCACTAAGAACAAGTATCTATTCTTACATATTATTTCAACTTTGTGGTCTGCAACACCAAAAGCAGTTACTTGACTTTACATACTGTTTAGTGCTAAATAAATCTTGGAGGAATACTTCCAGGGCAACTTTTTTTTTCCTGAGTGGATGATTGGTTGGTACTAAAATTTGCCTGTCAGTTGGTACCTGTATCTCTCTACCGTGCTTCTCATAATTTTACCTTCCAGGAGGGAGGAAGCATTTACAAAATGAAAAGGAGACTTAGAAATAGTGATTTTTTTTTTCCCTACAATTTAACTTGGTGACTCAAAGACAACCGACACAAAACACCTAGGAACACAACTTTTGCTATACAATATGTTGCCAGTAATGTCATCCAGCAAAATGAAGACAGTATATTTTTTGAACATTACAATCCTCTAATCATCATGGAAAATGGATGACTCCTCTGGTGCTCAAACACATCCACAGACAACAGTTTCTCAGAACCTGCTGTAGCATCTTTTCTGATGATTTACTAAGAAGATTCTCTGCTTTCTTTAAAGCATATGTTTGAGCAGCTACACAAGAGAACAAATTTCCAGGTCTGCAGCTCAGCAAAACATATAATTAATAGTTATCTACAAACTGTTGTAACATGTAACTGTGGCCTAGAACACAAGATTAAAAAATACTCTGCACAGTAATCTGTGGAAATATTCACAAAATTCTGCTTGTACCATTCTTGCATATATTTTAATCCAAACATTTGCATTACTGAAGCAAAAGAGTCAGTAAAGTGGCAGTATTCTTATTTGAATAGCACTGCATAGCTACAAAGCAGAGTGCATGTTTTAGTAGTTTCACACTGTTTAGGCTTTTTTTTGTTCACATATAACATCTGCTTGACCGTCTGTATATTTATCTAACACTTCTTTGCTTCTTTCTGACAACAGAAATAATACATTAATGACAGTTCACAGCATAAGAAATCAACTCAAGTTAAAATTGCAGGTTGAGATTTTGGGGAATCACAGAATTGTAGACTACTTGAGGTTGGAAGGCACCTCTAGAGATCACCTAGCCAATCCTCCTGCACAAGGCTGCCCAGGACTGTGGCCTGTCAAGTCTTTAATATCTCCAGTGATGGAGTGTCAACAACCTCTGGGCAACCTGTTAGTGTTCCATCACCCTTACAGTAAAAAAACTTTTTTCTTATTTGTCTTGTATTTTGGTTTGTGCCCATTATAAGGATGATGGGAAGGCAATCTTTATCTTCTAAAAATTGAGGACATTTGATACAGAAATCACAGAGATAGAAAAAAGGAACATCACAACATTTTAGTGGGGTTTTTTCCCCAACTTTTTACAGTTTGTAGCTTCTCACATACTTGAAATCATATAACCTATTATGATGATTTTTGTTGAAAGACTCAATTATATGGTCCAAAGAATTGTGCCATTTGTTGCCAAAAATCCCTCCTGTTCTTATATATGTATTTACAACATGTGTGATACTATTTGGATAGATTGACAAAAATGTGATTAAAACATAAGTGTGCTTGTTATAACAAGTTTTATTTATCTGTAATGTACCAATAATGAGTGCAAGTAAATGTTAATTTAAGTAAGTTAAATTAAGTAACAGACACCTTCACCAGCTAGCAGATGTAGCAATCTAATTCAGTAGTGCCAATTCTTGATTTAGGTTTTGCTCTGCATGAACTGGAAAATTTAACTTTTTATGTCAATTTTATTATTACAAAGAAATTGTTATTCAGCATGTAAACAGACAAATTAGCAGAGCCAGAATATCTTTTTTACATTAAGAAAGGAAAGTGGGCTATAAAGGAAACTATTTGACCAAACCTGTGACTGAGCTCATGCAGCATTAAAATTGAAAAATATACAAACTGAGATTACAAATGATAAGAGATTGACAACAGAAATAATACATTAATGACAGTTCACAGCATAAGAAATCAAAACAAATTCAATTTCCATGATTAACCACTAGTGTTTGATACCATAATGAAGAGAAATGCTAGCAAACTGATTCACATTATTTTACTGCAAACTGTATCTGAGTTTCAATTTATTTCTTTATAACAGCAGCAGGCTATTTCATACAGATCAGTTAAAATGTTTTGCCTCACCAGATCTGTGCCTGATTGTATGAAATCACTGCACTTGGAAGGGAGAAATCCCCAAAGGAACAATCTCACGACAAAAATTTTAGGCTATATTCCTTCCAGCATTGAATAATCAGTGGATTCAGTCTTGGAGACATTTAATCTTATTTTCTGTTCAACATAATCATATTCTAGGTCCTAAATCAGATCTTAAAAAGTGATTAATTAAAATTGACCCTGTAATTTCTATCTATAGGATGCCTAATCAGACATAACCTTTATGAGATTTTTCATTTTCGCACTGAAGTGTGGTCATTTAATTTTGCAGTGAGAAGAAACTCTTTAAGACCAGATAATTTTTTTTTTATTTTATATTTCATTGCTTCCTAATAGACAGGTTTAATGCCCTAGGGACTTTTTATGCATATTAAGACTGTAATTTTTTCTCTTAGACTGAGGTATCACTACTCTCTACAGCACAGTCCTATGACTAGTATCTCAGTGTTTTGTAACTGCTCTTTCATTAATAAAGACGTAATCAGCAACTATACACACACTTGTGCTACAAAACACAAATCAAATACATGAGAATTATTGTATATATTTAGAGTGTTTTATACTAAAATATTATTAAACCAAAATATTATTAAACTTTTCAGGTACAATACAAAGGTTACAATTGAATAACATAAGAAACACTTCACAGAGTCCAGCATGTTGTATTTTGTATTTGCCTCCCTCTTCTTTAAAAAACAAAATTAAGTACAATATGAAGGACAACTTCTTTAAAATGACTTAACAAAATGCCACATATGGGCCCCTCAACTGAAGTACCTGAAACCATTTCAATCATTACAGCCCTTATTCAAATTCTACCACATAGGTTCTTAGGGAGAAAAAGGTAAGTCTCTTGAGATGTTTGTCCCTACAAACATCATTTTACCATTTACAACATCATCATCAAGATGTCTCATCAAATTGATTTTTGTTTTTTCAAATCCAGGAAAATTGAAAAAACACAAATGCTACAAAATACATCTTGGCATTCTTCCATTTATCTATTACAGTTTCTAATAAATAGTTTTCTTGAAATAGAATTTCAACTTGAAAATTTGAAACTGCACGAGACCATGCAAATAGTCCAGCTAAGTAAGTACACTTCTACTGAAACATATTAATTTTAAATTGGTCTTGATTCTGCAAATTGATCCATCCATGAATTCATAGGCATGGATGCACAATCCCTGCACAGAGGCTTGTGGACAGCAAATTTAATATGATGGCTTACTATGAATGTATGTTCAATCTATACATAATTTGTACAGGTATAGTACTCAAAAACCATTATACTGAAAAATTATTCCTGAAAAAAGGAAGTTAACACCACTTTCAAAACCAAATTTTTATTAGTATTATTTCTTAAATAGTTCTAAATATCATTTACAAATACTGTAAACAACAATGTTTACAGCAAAATGGAAAGATTGTAACAGATTATATCCCCTGTACGACTGTATATAAAAGCGTTTGTTTTGAGATTCTTAACAGATGACCAAGAGAAACTATTTCTGGACATATTCAACGTTACCATTAAACATTAACATGAAATCAGAACATGCATCAGCAGATAGCAAAATTCAGCTAGAAAGAGTTCAACAGCTTGACTTTTTAATTTGGTTAGTAAGTTGCCTAATAGTGCTCCACCCTCAAGCCCCAAAATAAGTTTTTAAAAAATCCCAACAAACCCCACACAAACAAAAGCAAAACAAAACTGAAAAAGACCAAATAAAAGAAATGGAAAATACCTAGTGTTTGAAGAGTATGTATGGGTGCAGATATTGAGGTCACATAAATATTTCTGAAAACTTTATGCAGTGATTTTTGTTCAAAGTCACCATTTAAATAAAAAAAAATTACTATGTCATATATTCCTTTAAATATAACAAAAGCACTTATAACTGAAACAGAGGCCCTCAATTACAAAAACCCCACTGTTTTAAAGAGTTTGGAGCTGCTGGCATTATATTTTTAATTAAATTGTTATGAAAAAAGCGTAGTATTTTCTTGACTACTTGAGAGATACTTACAGAAAAAAGGGCATCAGCTGAATAAGAGTCTCTTTTTTGGGATTGGCTGTGAATTCTGGCACAGTTTGAATAATTTTGTTCATTACATTCCTTAGGTAATTTTGTAGCTGCTTGCGTCGCTCTTCTACAAACTTTGCATCCTAAAAATAGACAGGAAAAAATATAAATGGCACAAAGAATATGTTTTTCAATTCGATAATGTAACTAAACAGTCCTAATAAGCACAAAAATTTATCTTCTGATGATTTATGTTTATTATGGCTATAGAAATATGTTGGCAGTATGTAAAAAACCCTTGACTCTGTCATTCTTAGAGATAAAGGAAAATCACATGACCTTCTGTTTCACAAAAACATTCACTGACAGGATACTGAATTTTCTCCTTGGCAGAATGTCTCAGAATGGACCAGAATTCTTCTCCTAATAGTAAGTCTCCATAAAATACTAATCTTAGAAAGGCCATGCATAACAGCTGCTTAGAGGCAGTGGCATAACAATTTATACGTATCTTTTTGAGATCCGGAATTACCAGTCTTTGTAGGAAGAAATACAGACTTGTTTCCACAATTTCTTCACAATTCATACTTTTCAGATGTTGGGTACACAAGCTCCAGAATGCATTAATATTTCTCCAGCTTTATTATTATTATTATAATAAGTTATTATTTTGTGATGGAGTTTTCATATAGCAGGTTGCTTTCTTAACGATTATATCACAACTCTCATAAAAATATTTTACTGAAGTACCTATAGTATTTTAGATCTCAGAATTTTATACTATATTGGCCCCAATAAATAAAATAGTTCTATAAACTCCACATTCTGCTGAGAGACATACAAATAAAAAGTCTAACAACCAGCACAACGCCATGCATCTTGTAACTTACATCTAGCTTAAAATTTTTCCTGTGAGGGATTGCAGTTACAGTGAACTATAATATAAAGTCTACGCATTTCACACTAACATAAGATTATAATAGTTTTACAATTAAGTCAGGTGCTGAGTGGTTTGTGCTACAGCCAGTATGCTGTATCTCAGAAATGCAGGCATTCCAACCACCTGGTTTAAATGTCAGAGTATGTTCTTTAGGCATGAAGTCAAAACTATTATTAGACAATCACAGCTCTCAAAGGAATACTATTATCTGTAAGATGTGTCTATCCAACCCATATTATTTGCCTGTGTAAGAAAAGCCATTGAAACAAATCCTTGTTTCTTGCCAAAAAAATGACAACCCAAACACCAAAAATACATTTGACAACACTGAATAAACTGATTGTATTAACAAGGTTCAAGTCATGCTGCCATGCATGGGATGCAAACCTGAAGATTATTCCTTCCTTAGGTAAAACAGACTAGCTCGTCATCAAAGCAGTGATACTCCTTCGAATTCAGGAGGACTGCTGTAGAGTTCTTGGAACCTTTATTGACATTTTGTTCTGTTCTTATCTCTCATTAGGAGAAGTTAACCAGGAACAGCAATATTTTTAGGAGATATAAGAAAATGATAAAAGATTCTGAATGACATTTCTCAAAGTAGTAATTTAAACCTCACAGAATTAAAAAAAAAAAAACTAAAAAAATCAGTTAAGTAAGGTACATTTGCCAATATTGCCAACTAATCCTGTATATTAAAAAATAGCCTAATTTTTTATAATTTAAGGAAATCTTTTCTGCTCGTTTTCATTTGCTTGTGATTACTTAATGGCATGTAATTGTAATTACTGTAACATTTATAATTGCTGAAGAAATACATACTTACAGGCTTCAAAAACTCAGGCAGCGCTTGTGTTGTTTAATTGAGTTCACAAAATTACAAAACATATATTCTTTTTTTTTCTGTTTTCTAGATATGAACTTACATGGATGTCCAGCCCTGTTTCACATTATTAAATGTCTTAATATGTAACTATAATCAAGATCATTATGAAAATTAAAAAAACATGTACTATACGGTTTGTTACTTCTTTTTTATCAGTAACATTGTTTTTCAGCAACATACACTACACACACAAATTGTGTAACAAGTGATTCTATTGTTAATTGATTTACTGATAAATGAAGAAATCAAGTCTGAAAACTCTTGGAAATTGTCATGGTTTAGCTGAAACCAGGACAGAAACTGATACTTTATTAAAAGACAAAGCTGCATTGTTGACACTTCATGCAATCCACTCTGCAGAGTCACTCATTCAGTACTCCACAAGGGAGTACAGTTACTACTCAAACAGAACAGAGCAACAGCTTGCTCCATGCCCCACTCCACTGATGAAGTCTGGACAAACGTGTGGAACAGAAGTCTACACAAGCTGTTGGGAAATGTTAAAGCAAAAATTTTAATAAGTGGCAACACATAATATTAGAATAAAATGGAATGCTAATAATAAATAAAAGTGTAGTGCAATACTAATTAACATAAAATTATTATTTTTCCTCTTTTCACTAAGATTTTTACTCCAACTAGATTCTTTGACGTCAGGGAACAGCCTTGTCTTCCCATCTTTTCACTCAAATGATTTAAAGTATCACATCATCACATTGGTAGGGACACTAATTTGCTACCACCAGCTGTGTGAGGCAGAAGACAAGAAAGTGTGGCAGATAGGACATCTCAGAGAAGAAAGTGTGTGGCACACCTTTGGTTCTGAAAGCTTTAACCACATAAGTAGTAGTGATGTTTGGCACATGAGACCATTTCAATTATGGAGTAATCCTCTCCCCTGGTCTTACTTGACTGCGCATAATGGAGGAAGAAGCAGCATTCTTTGCTCTACAAGCCTGCTCCTACTGCAGACACAGGCTCAGCTTAGAGCCATTAAAGAACTGGCCCCACCCCCACTATACTTCCCTGATTCTACTTTCAGCACTTCTATCAATTATGTTTTCAAGTCCCCAAGAAAAATCTCAATTTTTGAAGTGCTTTTTCAGTTCTTAAGTTTTTTTGGTCACAAATCCTCAACAACAGTATTTTCCGTGAAATAATTTCAATTACGTTAAAATTTGCTCTTAAAGCAGAAGTTGCATGTATTTAAATAAATATGTTTTCTTTAACAGGCAGGACCACTTTGTTATAAACACATGAGCAAAATGCTGAACGTAGGTACTTTCTATCCCTTATGTTACTGTAAAGAATCTTATTAACTATAGATAATAAGGGCACAAAAAGGTTTCTAATTAAGACTGACAGAACATGCTTAAGGAATGCATTTTTGCTGTTTATAGCTGATCAAATTAGTGCTTATAATATAGCTATTTTTCTGCCATTTATTCAAGCAAAACTCAGAAAATAAACTCAGCCTGAAAACAGTTAAAAATGCTCTTTTAGCTGATATTAAATTGATCCAAAACAAACACTGAGCAATCTACCATGAAATTCTGTACGATGTACTAAGCCCACTGCCCTTACCAGAAGTAATGTATCCCAAGGTCAAAATGATTCAGCTGCAGGTCTATACTTTATCATTAAACATGTATTTTGCAACTGCAGGTCAGCTGCTCAAACGAATTATTTTGCCACACAGTTGGTACTGCCAAGTTGTTGCAGTAATAAAGAGGTTTTGTCATAAAATAGTAAATAGAATAATTGGCAATAGAAAAACATAATTGGTTCAAAGCCTGGCCAACTTTTTCAGTCTCAAATTATAAGAAGGTACCTCTTACCCTCTTTCTATTGCACTCAGTTATCTACAACTGAAATCTGGTTAGTATTTTATATTCCAACTCCTAAACAATATTTTCATTTACAAGAAAAAAGTAATGGGAAAAATTTTTATTTGGACTTGTATCAGTGGAAAAACCCCCATACTTTTAGTGCATTTCTTTGGTGAGTGTACAAGATTGTATCTGTCAATACAAATCTACACTTGTGTATCTATTCACACAGGAAACAGCAAAGATTCAATATACAGATTTATGTATGCTTGATATGAATGTTCTTTGGGGACAAAATAATTTTGGTAAAATTACAACTACATGTACTTTGCAAAATACCTTGCATTTTCACAGGATTAAAGGTTAGATTATATAGTTTCATGTTTAAGAAAACAAATGCATGTATGGGAAGATAAAGGAACAGTACTAAATAAATGCATACTTTCAAGATCTCACTGAAGAGAGATCCTGCTGACATGGCTGAAGAATGAGACCTGCTCTCAAAAATATGGATGGGTATTATCAAAGGTATTTTCTAAAATTCAGGTAACAGAAATGTATAGAAGGAATGGAATGGGTAAGATGAATCTTACTAACTAACAAGGAAAAAGAACTTGTGTCTTGAATTATCAAGTCGTTTGACCAGTTGGCATCCAAATCACAATGAAGATCTTTTCTTTGCCTTATA